TTAATTAGATATGTTTTAACCCGGACAAAAATTGGTGTCTACACGAAGCATTACTATCATGTTATACATTGGTAATAAATATCTCAATTTTTTTGTTCCAAATATAGTGGATATTATTTTAAAGTGCACAATTAATCTGATTTATCAGTGAAAAAATAAATTAGGAATTAAAACCAAAAAGGAATAGTCTGTTTTAATTTATAAAGAAAATATTGAATTTTTTTTAAATAATGACGTAGTAGTGATGTGAGAGATTATGGATGATGCCCTACCATTCGTTTAGCAGCACAAGATTTAGATGAAGAATTTATGTCTGGGAAATTTCAAATTGACTCGTTTTAAGTCAATTACAATTGTTTGGGGTAGGAATAGACAACTCGAATTTTTTTTATTTTTTTTTATCCAAGATAAGCCCCTAAGGCATGGCCGGACAACAATACTATAACACACAAATATAAAGAACGGTAGTCCGTACGAAACCAGAGTCCCAATAAGAGAATCTGTTATGCCACGAGGTGAGTAACTCTGTGAAAACTCCGAAAAGCAAAAAGACACAAAACTGACTCAGATAGAGAGAGAAGGGTGAGAACTTCCTTACGATTACCCCCGACTGAGGGTGATTGCGTTCAAACGCTAAAGCACGGAAGGACCCCTGCAAAATAGCACCAACAAAATCGCCCATACATGAAAGTACAAAACTCTATCACACGAGCTATCGGCAAGCTTTAATGTGTAATCAGAATAACCGAAGACAACAACAATGTATGTTGTACATGAAAGAATGAAAATGTGAGTCAATTCCAAAAGTTTAAATTAGTCTATACCAAAATAGAGTCAATCAAATGTCACAGGAAAGAAATTAATTAAATAAAAGACTGAAAGACAAAATTAAAAACCGAACAAAAAGGAGGACAGTAAAAGATTAACAATAATAATAAGAGAACCAAAGAAAATAATTTAGAAAGGGTTCTCCATTACTTTCCTAATTTGGTACAGACCTATGCAAAACTAGATAGGGAAATATGCATTAAGCATAATTACCACCTACCAAGGCAATAAAGGAGCAATTTTAGAATAATTGGAATCAATGAGAAGTAGTCAATGAAAGCACAGTAATAAGCTAAATCAATGTAATTGAAGAAGATAGATGAGGAACCCAACGGCGCCAAAAACTTGACACGCTAAAACACAACACCAAACTGCGACCAAGTGTAATCGCAGTCCGGAAATGCAATAAAGTGGCAAGTTCTAATTATCAACTCGGGGTCTATATCTACTGCCTACTCCGTGAATATCTATCATCTAGCCAACTAAGTCGATTGATTGTGATTTTAACTAAAAGCAGTAAGAAATCAGGAAATGATTCGGTTTTCTAAAGCAAAGGAATAGTCACTCGGGAATGAGTCCCCCTAGCTCCTTAGTTAGGTCACAGTTGTAATTACTTTTGGTTGCTTTATTGCTGATTATACTGCGGAAGATCCGACAGTAGCTTGGAATCTCTTAAGCTGACCAAGCCCTCTCAGTCAAACTACCCGGCAGACGACTAGTCTTCACCGGGATAGAACACTGAGGCGATGAACACAGAACTCCACTACTAAAATTAGATTCCAGTACAAAGCAGTGAATCGACTAACTCTCGTATAATCGATTCACTACTACCGATTGAAGAAGCTCTAACAACCTAATTAGATTCTATCTATCTCAGGTTGTAGCAGAAATCAATAAAAGATGATCAAACTTCAATTGACTCATTCAAAACACTTCAATCGATTATAATCAAGCAAGATCACAATCCAAACGTAATTACAATCAAGATTTCTAACACATGGAACTAGCGTTCTTCATACCTAAGGAAGAGAAAGTTCTACTCCATAGAGAGACAGAGAGAGGGAAACAGAATACAAAGCAGTCATACACATAACAATGGGAAGAATCTGCTCTGGGATGTCAATCTTCACTCCTGGGGATGCAATCTGGGCTTGAATGGTGAGAAATCCACTCCAAATAGCTCCTAGGGTTTGTTCTTCGCACTTTCTCTCTCTAAAACTCTGTTTTTGCTCCAAAAAGTCGATTCTCTCTCCTTTGGCTCGAATCTGCCTCAAAAGGTCGACTCTGGGCAAAACACGGTCGAGTGCACGGCCGTGTTTTGCTTTTGCCCGTTCGTGCCCTTGCCACGTGTTAAAAACACGCCCACATCTGCCAAAACACGATCGTGCCTATAGATGGGCACGACCGTGTTTTCTGTCACTCCCGCCCGTGTTTTGGGACATCGTAGGATCACCTTGGATCAAGCCTCGGCATAAATAACACGGCCCAGGAACACGGCCGTGTTTGTGTTTAGTCCAGCCCGTGTTTTTCCTCCTCATCAGTTCAGCTCTCGGCATAAAAAACACTGGCGTGCTCTTTTCGTGTACACGGCCGTGCTCTTCAGGCCTCCTGCCCGTGCTTTGGCCCCAGCTCCACCGAATGACCTCCAAATGCCCCGAAACTCGTGCTTAGCCTTTCCTTCGACGTCTGGGACCTGAAACATGACAAAGTAGCACAACCAACGTAAAATAGGCCAAAAATACACGACTATGCCCCGCAAACGGATAAGAACTAGGGGTGCAAACATGTGCAATTACATCGTTATCAAACCCATAAGCCCATAAAAGAGGGAAACGAAAGTCATTAAAATGAGGTTACTTAAAATTCTAATCACAATAACCTTCGCAATTAGCGAATTAAAAAGGGCAACAAAAGATGAAATGGAAAATGAGCCATGTAAATGGTTTCAGTGACTATTGATTAGATAGAGTAATTGAGGAATAACACCTCTGATTTGACTCATAGCGGAACGGAAATGCAATTGAATGTCATGCCAATAATCAGGCAAAAGGTTAAATTATTCCAAAATTACCGTAACCATGATGGAACCCATTAGGGGTGGTAACCGAGAACAGAACCGGTAACTGCCGGTTACCGGTTATACTGTTAACCAGCGGTGTCGGTATTCGGTGACCAAAATTCAGCTACCGGTATACCGATTTATACTCGGTTAAAAACCGACGGTTAATCGGTATACCGCATACCGAGTACCCCTGCCCTTTCCTCATTTTATACTCTTCCCTTTCAACTGGCCGGCTTTTAATTACTGCTCTCCAACTCTTCTCCTCTCTCTCTCTCTCTCTCTATCGCCGACCAGTTCCTATCTCTCGATCTCCCCAGCCCTCCCCTCTCTCTTGATCTTCCCCAACCCTCCTCTCTTCTTTCTAATCGCCACCCAGCCCCCAGCTCTCGATTTAGATATCCCTCCCATCTCCCCTCTCCCTCTCGATCTCCACAGACCACAGCCCTCCCCTCTCCCTCTCGAATCTCCCCAACCTTTATGTCTCTCTAATCGCCACCCAATCCCCAGCTCTCGATCTCCACATCCATCCCCTCTCTCTCTCTCTATATATATATATATCCACAAGACCACAACCCTCTCCTTTCTCTAATCGACTCCCAACAATGACCCTCCGTAACTCACCGCCCATGAAAGACAATCGGCCGGATTGAAGATATGCCTTCGAGGCTTCTTCTCTGATTATTCGTTGCATGTATCTAGAAGGGATGTTGTTGGACCAATCCGAGCTTGAAACTAGAGAACGATGGAGGGAAAGCTGCATCGGCATTCCAAAATAAAAAAAAAGCAAATCGAGAATCCAGAGTGGATCTAAATCTTGTGTGACCTGAGTGGGAAGAAGGTGGCTTAGGCAATGATGGATGAGGAAGTTGGGGAAAGGAAACGGAAGGATGTGGAAGGAGTAGTTTGTGGTGGTGGTGAAGTTAGGGGAGGCAGAGGAACGCAAGGTAGGAGAAGGGAATAGGTTTCTCTGTTTCTGTCTAGAGATTGGAGAAGCCGAGAAGATTAAAGTAGGGATAAAACGGTTAACCGGTTAGAAACCGATATCGGTAGTCGAGGCTCTTTTCCTCGCTGTCGGTATACCGATAACCGGATACCGGTAACCGACCGAATACCAGCCCTAGAACCCATCATAAATGCCGGTTGGAGAGGCATCTGCATAGGAACCTTGATCGGAGATGGAAAGTAGAGCACTGATGATCGAAAACTGGGAACCTCGGCCAATTCAATTTGAATTGGAAAGGCACAAAGCAACGACAAGCGTTGTATCTAGATGAATTTTAATAGATAACAGGACATGTAGCTCTGACTAACAGACAAAAATATAGGAGGTAGGTGATCATCACCTTATTGCCCAAACCACTCTGCCCAGAAATATTACAGGATCGACGGAATTCAATTGTAACTCGATAAATTCATGTAGACGGCGATCAAACTTCAGAAATTTAAAGAAAGACCGGAACAATAGAAAGAGAGAAGAACTTGGAAGAAGCTCCACCATAGTCGTTGGTGTTTATCTGAACATTGATGGAACCCCAATCCGCGGCGGAGAAGGATGATGGCATCCTCATGTAGAGTGGACATTTGGATTGCCGTTGAGAGTGGCAATTAACTAGAGGCTTTGCATGCTGGAGATTTTCTCTCTGCCGGCGCCGACGGAGAAATCGTAGAGGCGGCCGCGGGTGGACATTTGTTTTCGTTTCTCTATCATAGAGGTATCGTTTCTCTAACTAAACCGGCTTACATAGCCACTTACTTCAGTAAAGAATGTTTTAGGCATGTCATTAGAAACCCTACTTTATAAGAAAGAGGGGTATTAGTTAGTCAATTAAACACCATTGTATGTGGAAGCCACATCATTACATGAAACAGTAATAGTCAACTTGAATCGGCTCTTTTAAATGAGTCATTTTGTAAAATGAAACAATTAATTAAATTATCTCGTTTTTCAATTGTACAAAATGAATTTTTAGCGCTGGGGCGCATAGATTCTTCCGTAGATCTTCACCGTACACTAATATATCTCGTGTGTGAGCTCCTTTCTCCTCCTTCGTCTTCTTCTTCCTTCTTATTCTCTCTCTGATATAAATGGATTAGCGGAATTTCTTACAGCCTTAAATAAACAAAAACCTACCAACATAAATCCTTGAAATTCCCACGCTGCAGTGCTTGTCTGCCGTCCGCAAATCAACCCCAACAACAACAACAAAAACGCCCAATCCCGTGGAACTTCTCGAAACTTCCGCTTCAGTAGTAGTGTCTTTACGATCCACTCTGCTCTCAACTTTGGGAGTTGGAGATTCCCATCTGAGAGAGCGATCGTCGTCACCGCCGAGGTAATTGTCTTGTGTCTGTTTCCGACGGTTATTTCTGTTATTCCCGGTATGTGCTTTCCTTTTTGTGTTGGATTCGATTGGCGGCTGTTTCTCGATTCTGGGTTTCGCTGTTTCGTTGGCGGGGAAGGGTAAACGGGGAAGTGTGGCTGTTGTATTAGCTGAGGGGAAATGAAGGAAGGAAAGGATCTTTTCTAGTTGTGATTGAATTGTCTTTCTGGGTCTGGTTTTAAGGTCCAGCTGAACACTTTGAGCTATTTTCATTGCATAATTCATTAATTCGTGCTATTTTTGGTATGGATATAATCGGCTTGATTCCTCCAATCTGCCGTGAAGTTAATCCATATGGAAAGCTTTGTTGGGTTGAGGTTTCTTTGTAGAAGATTTGCCTCTGAATTATACTCAACATTTACTAAAAGCTGTGATTTTGGTATGGTCTAGGGTGGAATTTAGTCTGCGGCGGTGGGAAAATGTGGGACTGTTGTTGAATAAGTAACTTTTGAACTTTTACCGAAACCTTGTTGTGTTGAACAAATGGAATCTTCAGTTTCTTGTGCTTGCTTGAATCATTTCCCTGTATCACTTGGTGCAGATTGTGTTGTTGCTCTACTAGGACGACAGTGGATTCTGCTCTCTCCTACCACGATGAGCTCCTGACTTTTAGTGTTTCTCTTTCTCCTTTGTTGAGTTCGATAGCATGTGAGTCAAACTCATGAAGTCTAGCTATGATGGAATGGTGAGACTGCTTCACTATGACACGAAGGTCTCTGGACTGGAGCAATTTTGTGCTCCATAATGGGTGAGCAATTCTTTTCCAGCTCCTTCTGTGTTTGTTCATCATTGTTCGTAGAATGACAAACCTTTAGGATGTCTTGATGGGTCAGAATCGTGTGCGACAGATAATTCCAACTATCATTTTTGTTGAAACATTTGCACAGATATCAACCACTGAAATACAATTAGCATCTCGATTAGATCTCCTTCTGTGTCTAGCAATCGCCCTCAGTTTGTCATGGCTTCTTCAGTGGAAGGTCCAGAGGAAGTTCCCGTGATTGAGAAGGAGCAACAAAAGAGCGCTGATGATGTCAGATCTGAAAAGGGTGAAGAGATCAATGACACTGCGACTCATACATCACAGAGTCAAGAAAAAACAATGTCTATTGTTGTCTATGAGCAAACTCCGAGGGAACCAGACGATGGAGCAAGTGTGTCTTCCATGGAGCATGAGAAAGTCTCGCATGCCAACCCACTTCCTTTACAATCCATTAAGGATGGAAGAAATCCTGCCATACGTGAAAAAGTGTTAGAGGATGGATACAACTGGAGAAAGTACGGGCAGAAACTTGTTAAAGGCAATGAATTCATTCGAAGCTACTACAAATGTACTTATCCCAGCTGTCAAGTTAAGAAGCAGTTGGAACGCTCACATGAGGGCAAGCTCGCGGATATCGTTTACTTTGGCCAGCATGATCATCCTAAGCCTCAAGCCAATCTCCCACTTGCTGTAGGTGTTGTTTCACCGATCGAAGAAAGATCTGATGGCCCTTGGTCACCTTCTGTGAAAGGTAAAGTGATTTTTACGTATCAACAGAATAAATGATTTCCAATGTCATGATATGCTAATTCATGATATGATATTATGGTGTAGTAGGGAAAGGACGCCCTCCAATCGATTCTACAAATGCCTGTCCGATGTCCACGCTGACATCTAGCGAGGATGTGAGAGCTGTGCCATCAGAATCGATGAGGAAAAGAGATGAAAGTGATCACAATGATGATCCCCAGTCTAAACGGAAGTATGTTAGCTGCATAACTATCTATAATGCATAGCATTACTTTGCTATGGTTGTTTCTATAGTAATATTTTCTTGTGGTATTTCTGTTTACAAACCAACCAGGAAGAAAGGGAACCGCGGGATTGTTGATCCTCCTGCTGTAGAGAAGCTCGCTGGTGAACCACGCATGGTTGTCCAGACTCTTAGCGAGGAGGACATCATCGTTAATGATGGATATCGTTGGCGCAAATATGGCCAAAAGATGGTCAAAGGAAATCATAACCCGAGGTAATATCTGAATTCAAGGGTGGATATGAAATTTCGTTTTAAATGTGGAAATGGTTGCTAAACTTTGGAGTGTTTAATAGTATGCTCACCTGACTGAAAATTTTGATGAGGCACGAACTATACTAATTGCTTGATATGCAAGAAAACAGCCGGTCCATTTAATCTAAATTAGGCTCGCCACATCACCAAAGTCATCTAATTAACCCTCGGTGTTACTCCCCAACCTAACTCTTTCCAACTCACAAATGAGTTGGATCTTGGGTTCATAGGTTTGCTTATGAGTTGGGATTTAACTTTGTGGGTTAGGTCAAGGTGGAGATATTTGGTCAACTTACCACACATGGTATTAGTGGTGTGATTTTGGTGACTCGAGGAGCCATTCTGGCATTTAAACTCAGCCTAACCAATGTTAGGAGGTTGTAGGAAACGAGATAGAGACTGTTTTGTTTCTGATATTTTAAGTTCACTTATACCTTTTGAGCTCGTGTCTGTGGTGCTGTAAGCTTGTCAAGGCAATCTGTGTATAAGAAAGATTCCATCCACCTTTGCCTGTAGACAAACGGTAATAGGGGACTGAAATTTGTTTGTCTCTCGACAACAATATGCAGGAGCTACTATAGGTGCTCAAGTCCCGGCTGTCCAGTCAAGAAACATGTCGAGAAGGCATCCCATGATCCCAAGGTGGTTATCACCAGTTACGAAGGAGAACATGATCATGACATCCCACCTTCTAGGACAATTACTCACAACATACCTGGTCTCGACGTTTCTACCTCGAACATTCCTATCAGACAACTCGAGTACAGTAAACCAGCTTGTAACACTCCTGATGTCAATGCTAAACCCAAGGAAGAACTTAATGGCGAGTCGAGAAGTGAAGCAAAATGGGACAAGAGTAAAGAAAGTGTTGTCGATAAGGGAAATGACGAGATTTCTCCAAGTCCCATCCCTAGGGATGTATTGAAATCAAAACAACAGCAGAATGAGAAGTCACGTGCCTTGGAGGAAAGTGATGCCGCTGACCATGATTCCGATGCCACTACAAGTTCTATTCTCGAGGGCAGAACAAATGACCAACACACGGGTGAGTCAAAAGATACATTAGAAGAGAATGGTTGTGGTTCCAAAGTTCATTCTGATGCCACTAATCCAGACAGCAAACCAACTCAGCAACACATCATGGACTCGGAACCTGTTCAAGCTTAAGGGAAAGTAGATTCTTTTCTTGACCTTGGGGTGCACAATGAGTTGTTTGCAGACACTACTTTTCAGCTGTGTAAATTAGATGGCACAATAATTGCAGGATGTAGAGAGATATATTATTGGGTTGGTCGTCTAATACATATGGGAAGAAGAGAAAGCTACAGTGGTTATTTAACACTTCCCTTTCCTCCACTTACCATTCCAGCTTTTCCTTTCAACTCTTTGCTTCAGTCGTACAAGGCTAACAATGCCAACAGGAACTCAACTTGCAACTTATAAAGCTTGTAGAGCCGAAAAAATGGCAGCTTCGATTCGTAGACAAAAAGGTTGCAGCGAACCCCTGACTGTCATGCGAGAAAATTCTAACCTAGTACCCCTTCCAGTTTTCTTCACTTCCATGCACAAGAAGCAACCAAATCTAGGTTCATCCACCCGAGATACAATGCACCATCCCTCACTTGAAGCCTGTACTGCTTGCAGTAATTCTCCAATCTCCAGCAGTGTCTTAATGGTAGCGTTCACCAAAGAGCTCAAAGGACACTGTGAACCCCGCCATGGCAAACCTTGACTTCATTTCCCCAGAAGCTCATGTTTCCCAGTCTTATCTCTTCTCTCACAAGAAATCACATTCGCAACAGCTTTGGCAAGGCAATGATGCTCAATATTTATCCTCTCCTTATGATCCCTCTGGAGAGTCACATCGATTGACTCAAACATGGCCATGTAGTAGTCGAGTGTCTCCAAAAACCGAGGAAAAAACAAGGCAGTATTTGTATTCGCCTCCTGCTCGACAAGTGTCACCACCTAAGGTGACAACCCTTTAACCATCCTCAGCAATCGATCTCGATGGCTCTCTGTATAGACACTCTCATCATTAGGCATGTGATGAAGCATGAATGTGAAATTGACAGCTAGAGCTTCTTCCGCATCTCGAATACCAAGATCCCGCATTTGAGCTTCACAGCCATTGATAGCAGCAGCATGGAACTCAAATGGCACTTTGAACGACTCAGCCAGCTTTGAAAGCCTCTTCCCTACTATATTCAACCCTCCACCTCGCGCATAAGCTGAAGTTAAGTCATCTACGGCTGTGATTCGAATGTGAGGTCGCCCACCGGGTCTCCCAGTGAATGCTTGAATCAAACTTACCCACTGAGTCCCTAGACCAATCTGAAAGTCAACAATGTTAACCTGATGCTCATCCTCCATAGCTTCTGCAATAGCCCCATTCGCGGGCATATACCTGAATTTGAGGTAAGGACAGACTTCATAGAGAATGTGCATGTAAGATAGCAAGTCAGCACTAGCTGGTTCCTTGCACCTCAAGGCATTGCAGATTGAACTCCCAGAAGAGGAAAGCCGAGTAATGAGACCTTCTAACATGTAGGCACCTAGTCTTTGTATAGACTCACCAGAAACTGACACCATATGGCGTAATTCATCAATCAGCCATTGCGCTGTTAAGTGGTCATTCTCGGATACTGCCTTAGCACAGGCAACTAGGACTTGGTTTAGATCAGCTCGTGATATCACCTCCGTGATTTTTCTCATGCAGTCCATCTCTAGTGACTCGCTTTCCATATTCATGAAGTTATCAGAATCTGGTCCCAACATTGCAGTCTCTAACTCCCTCATCTTGTATCTTATATCATTGGCATCATTAGTGAAACACGAGGTGCTTATTGGAGAGCCATATGTATCTGATTGGTGTGACTGAGAATCCTGCTGCGAGATTGGGCTTCCTCTAGGCGAAAGGTTTTAGATACCGAAAATGGCATTTAGGGAAGATGGCTCCCATGTCCAGAGAATCCTGCCTGCATTTTAACTCGTGGACTGACCATTAGATTACATGTAATTCTGCCTGCATATTAACTCTTCAGCAATATTTGCTTCTGATCAAGCTTCAAAATTGTATGCTAATGATACATACAGATGAACCACCACTACATAGCAGCAAAACGACTAGCTCCAATATCTTCCGCCCAATTTGGAAACTGGATCTGCCAAGAACAACAGATAGATGGTCAAGACTTTATTTGCCTTTTGTGATCGAATGTTGTAACTACTTGACTAACCAAAGACCAAGTCATACGCTTTTTATCTAATGGAACTTTCTCCCCCAAGAACCCTAATCCAAACGGACAAAAGAAAATCTTCTTCCACAGAAAAACTAAGTAGAGAAGGAAAAGGGATTACTGTAGAACTAAGCTTGAGAAAAAGGGAGACATGAACATAAGTAAAACAAATAGCAAGTGTTGCCAAATTTGTGAAAGAAACTCGTTTTCTTCTTCCATCTACAGATTCATAAAGACATCTGGTCGAGAAATGGAATAACAAACTGATCTTACAATTAAAATGAGAAAAAATAAGAACTCCCATGGAAGCCGGTGCTCAATCATGCATGGTTTGCTCTTCCAAGCAAATAAGGCAGACATCATGTAAGAGTCGAGAAGAGATCTCCCAAACTTCTATACCGAAAAAAGGTAGACGATCTTAAAATTCTGAGTTCACCGAAACCGCCATTTGTAGTTACATCAAGGCTCAAGCTCTCCTAAAAATGGAAACAAGACTGGCGATTACTGAATCAAAAAGGCATGAGAACCAGAACAGGAACAAAAAGAGAACCCCCAACAAAAGCTTCCATCTTTCAATCATAAACTGGAACTACTTGTTAAAAGTTAAATGTTCTAGAAAACCACAATCAATCCGAAATCCATAAAAAAAACAAAACAGAGCAAATACCTTTTGTGGGTTCTGGAATTGGGTTTCATTTGTGTAAGAACAGAGAGAATCAAATTTTCTGCGCAATCCTACCTTTGTTTATAGAGGAATCTCAAAATCCTTTCAGGGTTGAAAGAGGGAGAGAAGCGGTTTTTGGGGTGGCGGTCTGTGTAGAGGAGAAATGGAAGAGTGAAGATGTTATAGAAGTAGGTAGGGGTTTTTTTTTACGGTGAAGTAGATTGGGTTTTCAAATGGTTATCATATAATCAAATCAAATAAAACAAAATTATATTAACCATGTAATAAAATATTATAATTAATATATTATCACGTTATCATTAATTCAATACATTTTCTGGTTAATTCATCCGTTTTCAATTTATATAATGAATAAAGTGTAACAATTAACAAATAGTTATAGTAAACATTTAATATAAATACATGCAACTAATACAATTATCTTACAGTCAAATATGTCAATGGACAATGGTATAGTGTTAATGAATTGTTTTCTTTATGTGAATTGATTTAGTCTATTAGCAATTATAATAGACGGAAAAAGACATTTCATTCAAGTTTTCATCCAACATAATGTATGAGTTTTATCTAAATTAGGCGTTTATGTGTTGGGCTCTACACTTTACAAATACAAATAAACATTATAGGAACAATATTGAGCTTTATGTTTTATGAGCCTAAAATAGAGGAACGTTTGACTCTTCATTGGTTAGTTAGGCAACGTATTAAGTATGTGTATACAATATATATTAGATATATGGTTAATTACTTAATCGGTTAATTTGGTTTGATTGGTTAGGAGTGTCTGAAACCAAACCAAACCACCTAAATCAAACAAGCTAAAAAATTTAACCAAACCAAACTAATTATGCGAATTAATCAAACCAAATTATTCAAATACTACCGGTTAAAACGGTTCCCACGATAACCACTCCGTTTGAACACCCTAGAAGCAGGTAGACAGGTGCTGAAATAAAACGAAACATTTTATTGGAATAAATACATAGAGAACTGCAGTGCTATGTTGAATTGAATGTACGAGAGAAAATGTAACACCTCAGGCAAATCCCACATCGACAAAGCATGGGAGAGATCCATGGTTTATAAGTAAGAAACCGACCTTAACTTATAAGACACGTCTTGGAGTGAAATGGAGGAGTTCTCATAGTGTGGAGTAGGGCTGGAAGTTTGGGACCGGTATTTGGGATATATTGAATACTGTACAGAATTTGTCTATATTTGGTATTATCGAATACACGTATTATTTCTTGGGATTGGGATAGGGATTCAATTTTAATTGTTATTCGGTACTAGGGATTACGGGATTGGGATCAGTATATACCGAAATACCGAACAATACTGAAATATAAGCTTGTGTGTAGTTTATCCTCTCAACTAGACTCTCTCATTCACTACTACACTACCCCCCCAGCCACCAATCTATTGTTATTTTCATAACACCAAAAGGCAAACACTAGTATTAGTCTTCTCTCAATCTCCAATTCATCAAATTAAATATTACCAATGACAAGAACTTGATATGTCACCTCTACTCGATTCTCCTTATCTTTATCCTAGCTCTAGTCAAACTCAAAACTCTTTGTTTAGTCTATTTGTCCTATATTAAACAATCAAATCTAATTTATATATTAATTATTAATTATAAATGTAACCAATTTCATATTCGATAATACCGATTGGGATACCGAAGTACCGATTGGGATAGCGAAATATTTAGGGATTGGGATTGGGATACCGAAATTATTTAGGGATTGGGATTGTGATTGATTCTAGGGTGTAATTCGGTATACGGGATTTCGATATTTGGTATTGGGATACAAATATCGTACCGATTTCCACCCCTAGTGTGGAGTACAACAAAGATGGATGACATTATGAGAAGTCACCTTGAATTGCCCGCAGGTCAAAAGCGGCAATATCTTGATCGGAAAAAGCTCCTTGTTGTGCTTAGTGTGGAGTATGAGTCACCTTATGGGTACTCACCTTGAATTGCATTATAACACCCCGATATTTATTTTAGATTAGACCAAATGGTTGGATCGATGATTACGTACGAAGTGTTGAAACCGTAGATTATATATAATAATAATAATAATTATAATTATTATTATTATATTATTATTATTATTATAAAAAATACATGGGAAAGGGTCGAGCGGCCATTACTCCACCCAAACACTTCCCCAACAATTATTCCCCACTCCCCCAGTAAACCAAACCCACCCTCCTGCCGCAAATTTCCCCAGCCGCAAAATCCCTAGCAAACAAATCAAACCCTTCTCTGGTATTTTTGCAAGCAACCGCCGCTGCGAGAAAAAGAAGAAAAGAAAGGGAGCGCCAGCTCCCCATCCGGACCCTGATCCCTATCCCATCCTTTTTGTGTTTCTAGCGGTGACGTTTGAAGGTTCGATCAATGAGAAGATCAACGTCTCGGGCCATCCAATCTAGTCCTAGGCATGTTCTAGAGGTTTCCCAAAAATAATCCGGCTAAGGAGGGGTTTCTTCGAGTAAGGAATCGAGGAGTCATCTTTCGAGGTGAGTGTAAAGGGGGTAAAATCTCTGTCGTAGATCTTTTAGTTTATGCTTTTCGTTCAAGTTATTAATTAGTTAATTTTTGAGTAATGCGCGATATGTGTGTGAGGCATCCCACCGCCTATAAGGGTGGAGGCACGCGTTGTGATATGTATGAATGTATGATTGTAATAGTTGGTTAATGGTAAGATGAACCCTTGGGCGGTTGGGTCACTACTGGACGGCGAGACGTAACGCAGTAGTTTATCGGGCATGGACTAGACGGCGAGACGTAACGCAGTGCCATTGTCAAATTTGGGTATTCAACCGAACGACGAGACGTAACGCGGTTGGCATACTAGGGTAGGACACTAAACAGCGAGATGTAACGTGGTGGTCCTAGTGTCTTGTGTTTGAGTTAAGGATAGAAGTCGAGAATTTCTATGTCGGAATAAAGTGTCAAGGATAAAAGCATATAACTTCTATAAGATAAGGTTAGGAGTAATGATATTCCATAAGTTATTGAGTAATAAATTAAAGTATGAAGGATGAAAGCGAGAACGGCTCTCATCTAAGGAAAGGAAACGCTAATAACGTGTTTAGTAAGGGTTTGCTTAGGGAAAGACCTTAGGAAGTAACGAAGAGACTGACCCCTTCTCACTCACCAGGTCGAGGAAGGGTTAACGAATGAGGATTTCGAGAAGAGGCAGGGCGAGGCGAGAAGCCGCACTAGCATTGCCGAGGTCGCGGGGAGCTTAGTGAGGAGCTAGAGTTGGATTTAGTTAGTTGTCTTATGTACCATGATTATGAGTATAAACTGGAGGTTCAAGGTTCGAGATTTGTGGGTCAGGGGTTTTGGGATTTGTTATTCCCAAGTGTTGGGGATTTTTGTTTGAAATTCTTAAACATTGTGAGTTTGTTTATTTTAAACAGTGGTTTGGTTGCTCCGGAGTAACCAGTTTTCGGTTTGAGTTATGGTTTGGTTTTTGAAAAAGAGCGGGTCGTTACATGCACCCCAAGTGCAAAAACTTGAGGGTCTCGCCCCAAAGCGGATAATATCTTGATTGGGAAAAGGATTGAGTTGTTACAGAAAAATCTAACAAAAACAATTCTAGATGACGAAATAACCATTTTTTATTCTTTTATGGTGACTTTTTTTCATGGTTGGTTGGATGAATTTTAATAGATACCCATTAGGAATGGAAATGGGTCGGGTCGGGTTTTGCCAAATCAAAACCCAAACACATGGGGTATATCCACCAAAAAAACCTGGAGTAAAACTCATTAGGTTTGAAAAACTCAAACCCAACCTAACCCGCTGGATATCCGCGGGTTTATGGATACTGATAACACCTAAAATAGGCATTATTTAACCATTATTCACAAGGCATTTGCATGTCAAAACACTGTTTTTATGCCACATATCAAGTTGTTCATGCCTATTTTCGTTCCTATTTGCAAAACATGCATTTAGGCATAAGTATTCTTGATATGAAGGTTATCATGGGAGAATCGACCTCACTTTGTCGTATTTTATGATTTTTCGGTTTTTGTGATGAGATTGCAGGTCTTATATTCATCTTGGATTGATCGAGAATCTATTGGAGTTCATCCGAGCATGATAGGAAGTATAGGATCAAGAAGGGAAGAAAAAACACAGGTCACAACCTCGTCACAACCGGGACCAACCTGTGCCCATATTCACGGCCCTAAGATCATGATCGCAAGTAGTGGTCGCGAACCTGTGCAGGCGACCAAAAAGAAGGCATAAAGTTTCGGCACCCGAATCGCGAAAATGGTGCGTTTTGACCGCGAAAAGACCACGCTCATGACACAAAGATCACGACTGCGATCTCATGAAGGGACTGCGAGTTCGGAGCTTAAAGATGAGGGGAAAATGCGATGTTTTGGGAAAGTCGGCGACATTCCAGCTGGTCACGCCCTTGAGGGCGTGACCACTGCTAGGAGGCTATAAATATCCCTTTTCTACACTTGACAATGGGAGAGCCGACCTAGACTGAGAAAGTTAGGGTTTTGGAGTGTTTTAGAGTGGGAGACAGCTTGGGAGAGCTTCATTGAAGATCCAATCCACCCAAGGAACAAGAAGAAGGGGCAAGCAAGGAAAAGAAGATTGATTCCATCTCTCCCTCTCTTCTAGTTTGTGTTTTATTTCTCTCTCTTTAACTTGAATCTCTAATGGTTGTTTAGGGAAGATGAACCCTAGTTTATAGGTTGTGTATGTATGGGGTCTGTATGAATGTGTTTATCTAGTTGATTCATTGCTTCATGTACTTTACTTATGCTTGGGTAAGTCGCCCTAATATTCCCTACTTACCTACTTGAGCTTCTATATTAGGTACACAATTTTAGGATTAGTTGGGTAATGCCATATGGAAAATTAGGGCTATATGAATGAATATAGTCTTATGGTGGACGAGGCGACCGAACCCCTGCCACAAGAACGCCTTCCTAGATGGATCTGGGATGAAACCTCGGTGTGGACGATGGGTAGTACCCATTTAAAGGAGCTAGATTCTTAAGGCCCCAGATATGTGAGCATATACCGAGGTGACAATGGGGTAGGTAGGGTGTACTCGGAGTCCCACGAAAAAGAGCTCACTCACCATATTCTCTTAACCCAACATGACAACCATAGCTAGGAGGATTGACCCTAGGCAACCGTCTCATCTCTAGCGATCTTCCACCCACTTAGTTGGTTGTTTATTTTGCCTTTAGGAGTAGGTTAGATTAGATTATTCACCAAACTCCCGATTGGATTAGATAGTAGTTCAGAGCGAACTAA